TATATATTTAATAATATCAATATATATATTAAATATATTTAGAATTGACTCTTGTATAATTTTGAATAGCTTAACAAAAATTCATTGGTAATTTAATTATATAAATATTTGGACAATATTTTTGAACTGTTCAGGACCAATCTTGATACATGTAATAATATAAGAGTAATATTATTTGCCAGATTCATTTTATGAATATATTTAGAGAGATTGAGACTTGAACTTATAACATTAACTTGAAGCTATTAAAGAAGACTTGTATTATTTATTTAAATTTTAAATAAGTTTTTACTTAACTTTTAATTTGTTTATTTGTAATACAATTTCGAACTTTTTCGAGTAACTTGGTAATCTTCCAATTACCGTTTTTTTATTATGTTTGATTTTTAGTATTCTTTAAACATAAGATCTTTATTGTGAAATCTCATATAGTCAATCTCAAAGCAATTAATCAAAAATCATGCAAATGTATATGTATAATGTTAAGAATTTTCTGAATACAAAGGAATATTACAAACATATACATGTATGTCTTTGATAGCAAACTCTTTATATCGGGAATTGAATACTCGTCAAATATCTATAATGAATCATGAATGCGTGGCAATCGGATTCAATCAAAATTACATTTTTCATTTTTTTTGAATCATATCGAGATGTGCATTATACATAAAGTGAGACATTCAATGCCCGATAGAGAATTTTGCCAACTAATAAAAGCCGTAGATGGTTGTTCTTTGTGTTTAGAAAATATCTTGGCATTACTGCCAAGATAGAAGAGTATGATTAGTGAATCGAATTCGTCTAAGGTTTATAATACTATAATTAATATCATTAAAGAAATACCTGAATCCAAAACTTAAAGTGGTATCCTCTCTTTTGCATACATGTATTCACATGGAAAAAATAAGAATCAAATCATATCTCCTTATTTGCAACACAAAGCTTTTAAATATATACATGTATCAACTTCGCTTTACATATCTGGAAATCATTAGAACAGTCAAGCTATCAGAACAAACAGCTTAGGCGCAATCTTAATAAACTTGAGCAATTCAAGAAGAATGTAGTCCATAAGGTTCAACAACTTCAAGCCGCAGATAATCTTTTTAAATTTTAATATCAATATAAACGTAATGCATGTAGTTGTGTAAAAATTTTGTAATCAGCAATCATATGCAAATACACTTTGACGTTGAATTTAACTCAAATTTAATAATAAAATAAAATAAATTACTTATATTGTGTGTCTAAATTATAGTTATCAATTAGTTTACGTTACCATATATCGATATAATGAAATTGATCGATAGAAAAATCTGCATTATTAACCTTTACTGAGGTACCTGACATAGTTGCCAACATCCCGACACCCATCTTCCCCGACAATTCAACACCCCACCAGTCCAACATCCTGACAACCTAACAATCTACTCAAAATTTAAATTTAACTCATTCCAACTTCCCAAAAAAGCTAGGTCAATTTCTGGTTTATGTCTGGAAATTGAGTTTGGCAGGAAATTGGATAGGTCGGAATGTTAGGTTATCGGGATTAGATTGTCGGATGTTAGGCTGTCGGAAAGTTGTATTGTCGGGGAAGTTAGATTGTTGGGAAGATGGATTTTTTGTAAACTGCAAATGATGTGTCAATGTGATAAACAAAGTACCGTAGAAATATTTATTTTTGAAAAATGATCAGGGAACTGAATTCATTCAGAATATTGGATAATTCTAATTACATGAGTGTACCTCTCCCTTGCTATAATGCTTTACTTTTATCACAGCATCCTGGAGCAATACTCAATTAGCTTTTTTTTTACGAACTCATGGTATTATATGCAGAATTATACGGTACTTCATTCCAAGATACATTCCAAGATAAAATCCTGAGTGACACTCGAAATATCAAATGAAACTTTTAGCTAGCATTGTTAAATCATTTATGTTGTTGATTACAACTTATTGCTCAAGGACTCAACTCAATTTGCTGCTGCTATTCGTAAGGAAATTATGGTGTGTGTGTTAATCGACCAATAAACATGTTTGCAAAATCTTTCTACAATGTGACTTTTTTTGTTATATATTCTAACCACAAAAGCTGGCTACAACCAACATCTGATTAATATATATCCTTATACAAAAATTTCGAGCTCCGTATTGACAGACTCCGGAACGTATAACATTAGATCATAAGTATTTTATTTTAATATTTGGCGAGTAGTTAACGTTAGTAAAAATTATTTTAAAACAGTAATTTTCATAGTTATAGTAACATTTTTTATAGTATTCCTATATAAAAATAAAGAGTATAGATAATCAAAATAAGTATAATAAGTATTCAAGCCTTAAATAATATCTCATCTTAGTATTTATCTTATTATTATCCAATTCTAAACTACTATTTACAGATATTTACAGTTATTATTAATGTATCTGATTTTATTATTAGAGTTATATTAAATCAAAACCAAGATAAGATGATTAATTTATAATACTTGAATCAAGAAAATTATCACTTGCTAAATAAAATTATTTGATATATTAAAAAAAGTTATTAGTAATTATATATATTATTAGACTTTGTATCTTGACATTTTCATAATTTATTTGCATGTCTTTGCATGAACATTGAAACTCCCAATCCTGTGCTAGCATATATTGCCTTTGACCCATTTACTTATTTTTAGAAGTTCTTTAGGAATTAATTTTTTTAAACTGATAATATAAGAAAAATGATTGGGCGTTACTTTTTGTGGTGACTGTCCATATTGATATGCACCTCATCATAATGTATATCGATACACAAGGTGAACAGTTTAAAAAAAGATTGGATTCTTGGCGGTGTTTCATTTTCATGGAATATTAGCAATCTGTGCCGTTTTAGCTAAGAATTGACATATTACCACTAAATTGAATTCCATATGTTCTATCGCTATATGACAGGCTTTAAAAATTGTATTTCTATTTATAGAAAAGAACTTTTAAAGGGGTAAATACATGTACATCTACATGTAAATATAACATGTCAGTTAATCTTTTCTTTATTTGGGGGTTAAAGCAAGTCAAGCCGTTAAAGCTAGTCAAGCCGTTTAGCCTGTTTAGCCACCTACTCGCCACACATTCGATCTGCACCACATGATTTGAAATAGCCAATCAATACCCTAGCCTCTAACGTGACTTTTTAAGGTAATCGAAAAAATTCAAAACAGCGTATCGGTTTTTTAATTTTTAATTTTTTCATCTGATTCTAACGAGCTGTAATACTGGAAATACACAGCTGCAGCGTTAGTGTATGGCTTTCCATTTAACACCTCTGTACTCATTGGAATACTAAGTCCAAATACGTTACGCATTAATAAATAATATACTTCTAGGATGAATAATCACGATGAAAAATCTCTCTGTGTGAATTGTTAGTTATTCCATGATAATGAATTTCTGAATCTTTTTTTAAAGAATTTGATTGTTTCAGAAAACAAAAAGCAACTTTCACTTTGAAAATGTTAATTTTTACCTTGTGTATAAATGCTCAATAAATTTGTTTTGAATTGTGTAATGATTCAAGCACAACTTTCCTTCTTTTCGTCGTTCAAATTCATTTTCTTCATTGAATGCAATAACCTCCATTCAACCAGATTGCTTTATAAACTGACCCAAAACCTCCTTTTGCACAATTTTATTAGATTTTCAATATTTTTTTATCTCTGCTAGACAATTATCGTTATAAATTCGTTTGTGATATTTCAAACATTCCCAGCAGTCCTCATTTCTTTGACAACGAGCACATTTTCTACAATCATATTGTGAACTGGGCACTCATCGAACTGAACACTCATCGCAGTACTGAGATTCTTTGATAATAGATGATGAGTATTTGATTCCACTTTAAAAAATGCAAAAAAACGAGAATTGTTGTCATTATACAGGTACGTTAATACATGTACATGATGTAACAACAAACATCAATGCTTTAAAATAAATCGAATACATGGAACGCATATATTCTCGCGTCCATACTCTGAACTATACTATAATCGAAATACTAAATAATAACCATATCTTGCGATTTTGATTTGAGCCAAAATCCCGATACCCAGTATTCCGACGCCCAAAATCCTGACTCAACAAAATCCCGACACTTACAAATCCTAACTTCTTAACATGCGAAAATATTCTTTAATAATAAAACTTTGTCTTAGTCAACATATTCAACATCCCAACATAACAATTATAAAGGGTATAAAGGGTGAAATTTTGTATCATACCTTTATGCTTCTATTTGTTTTTTGGAATTTTGGATATGTCAGAATTTTTGGGAGTGTTAGGATTTGGATGTTGAGATGTTGGGAGATCGGAATTTTGGTTCGAATCAAATTACAAGATATGAATTTTAATATTTCGATTATGGTGTGATTATGGGTTAGATTCAGAGTAGAGGTTATAATGGATGCGAGAGTATATTTAAATTTCGCAAGGAAAAAACACACGAGATACATCATTACACAGTTATCTTGCAATTTGATTGGTTTACCCACGTTAAAGGCTAGGATATTGATTGGGTATTCTCAAATCATGTGATGCAGATCAAATGTGTGGCGGATATGTGGCTAAACCGGCTAAACGGCTTGCATTGCTTTAACGAACCACTCTATTTATGCATTATTGATTGTTGTTTATTGATAAACAATTGGGCAAATCTATTGTTATTTTGGTTTTCCTTTTGGGATCAAATCACAATTTCATCATATCATCATCATCAGATTGATATGGTGGTGGTGTAAAAAAAACATTGCTTTCTTTAAACTTTTTGTACATACACATGTATCGGCAATTCTTTAATTGGGCACCCATGTTACAAATGATATTCTGAATAAGAACGATATTTACTGTTACAATATTACAGTACAAAACTTATCGTTGTTACAGTATAAAAAAAAGCGGTTTAGCTAGAAAATCTAATTAAGAATTTATTTCATCCAAAAATAAACTTTTATGACAAAATGCTGTTTATGTTTAGAACAGGGCGAACGATGGTAACTTCTTTGGCGATAATTAAAAAACGTTCACTTTAATTTCTCGTTTTAACGTGCATTTCTTTTAAGTTTAAGGAGACGACTTCATTCCATTATATACGAGTTGTCATCGCGACATTAGTACTGCTAACATACTCCCTTTATCTGAGTTTTTTGTTATATCAAATCTGGACCGACATCCCCGTAATACAACCTGCTCATGAATTCTTATCAACAATTGACGTTCCAGGTTTTTATATGTTCTGGAATCAATAACGAGATAATGTTCAATCAAAATCCGTCTTTCCCTAACGTTTTTTTAAATTTTCAAGATATTGAAATATGTGGATGGAACAGTGACATTGAAATTGTTCGATGTGACTTTACATGGCAAAATTGGTCAGCGACACAATATGAAAATTGCCAAACGCCGGATGGATTTCAGTATATTTATGCTGGACCTCGCCCAGATCCAACTGTTTTTTGTTACTTGTTCACGGCAAATTATACCACGTCGTTTGGAATGGGAGTTCCGGATACACTTAGAACTATTGATTTTTATTATAAAATTCTGAATCTTACATCAGCGATTAAGGCATCTGTTTCTGTGGCTACTATAGGTATGGCGAATTTATTATCTTTTTTAAAGCGTGATGTTACTTATTATTTAATACTAAATTTTCTATTAATTCTAGCTATGCAATTGTTCTCGCCTGATTTCAATCCGCTTTGGAATAAGTCGATACCAACGACAACAATGGATAAATTTATTGATGCCGATTTCAAATTGCAAGGCAATAACTTTGCTGGAATTCAAAATTATTCGACATCGGTAATAAAAGTAATTTCTTGTCTTTGAGATTCTTAAAACATTGTTTTCTTTACAATAAATTTGTTACTTTAGGTGAAATATCGTAAATTGACGTACCGAACAATTCCCGATCACGATTTTAGAGACATTCTTGGGCTCACACCTAATTATCACAACACTTCAGTCTTTATTGCTTCAACGACGTATTTTCCACTACATGGAAATAACTCAAATTTCACGGCGAGCACGGATACTGGACATTTTGGGGTGTCGGTAGGAAGTTTTGTGCATGAGTTGAAAAGTGAGAAAAGATCACACACCGTTCTTGGTTCTTTGGGTGTCGCTGGCGGCGGTTTTGGTATGGAGGAAATTTGAAAATTTTTCAACCCGTATTTTTCTATTTCGCTAACGTGATTCTATTTTGTGTAGGGGTGATATGTGGAATCTACATACTTTTATTTGGTGAACCTAAATATAAACCTTGGTAAATAATAATAATACATTATAATGTGTTAATTCGGATAACTTGGCTAATTTTTACGTATGATTTGATACAGGGGACTAATGCACCGAATGTTGAACTCAGAAATTCCACAAATAGGTGGTGATCCTGACAATATTCCACTAGTTTCACCTGTATATAGTAAAAATATATCTCGTCTAACACATGAAGAACGTACAGCGCGTCTCGAAGACCGAATATACGAATTAGAATCGTTACTCACAGACTATTTTATAGACGCGAGTCCGCTACGAAAGATCTCGGAAAAACGAGTAAAGAAAAAAGATACGAGTGATTATGAGGGTCTTACTGTTTAGGCTGCAGTATTTGTTTTTTTGTTTACTACTTAGTTTGTATCATTACATGTAATTGTAGAAAAAAACAATGTGTTATATTCCTGCATATAGAATAACGATAGTGCATCATTCATGTGTTTACCGACAAACCTTCTAAGTGATCTGTTTGTGATGGTAAAAGATAAGTGATCAAATTTGCCAGCAAGAAGTTGGAATTTCAGAATTAACCCAAATGAAAAGTTAAACTACCCAATCATTTACAGTCGCATCTCTATAAGAACACCGTCGAGCCAGAAAATCTGGTTCTTATAGAGTTCGTTCTTATATAAAGGAGATGTTTAATATATATACATGTACAGTCGCCTCAAAAAGTAACGCCCGATTTGCATGTGTAACAACATAAGTAAATATATGCGTCGCGTTTTC